GCAGAGGAAGATGAAACCAAAAGAGAGAGCTAAGCCTGGGAGTCCTTGTTCCAAGGGGCTCACAGGGACTCAGCTAGTCAGACATTAGGTTATCAGAATGAAAGTATCGTAGAAAGAAGGTAATCGCTACCACTGTCTATTGAATTAAATCACAGATCAGAAAGTGCCAGAGCTCATGGAGACCTTAAAGACCATCTAACATAACTAACTCCTCTGTTTCATATACCAAAAGGAAAAAAGGGCTGACTTGCTCAAAGTCACATATGGGGAAAGTCAAAACTTAAACCCAGATCTCATGGGCTTGCCAATGATGCCTGACACACTACAATCGTACCTACAAATGAGGAGGAATGTTGATCATTTATTATGATGTGCTACACTTCTTTGAGGAAGCACACATAATGCCCCCTAGAATAAAAGTGCTCCTGCAAAGTTTTATTTTGAGCTTTCCTGCCCACAGTATAATTTTATGACAAAAATAATTCTTTTGTTAAAAAGTATAAAAGTATGGTATAATGTTGAATGTCTTTTTAACCTACACGTGAAGTAATGGAGATGTGCATACATCTCCCCGAGGAAGAGACTCCGATGGGATGAGACTTCATGGTTTACAGTCTAGTGGGGCAGAAAGACACAAACTGACAATTCCTGTGATGAGTCCAAACTGAGAACTTTGAGGAGAGGCATTTAACCCCAACTTGGAAGGGAGAGGAAGGTATGAAGATTAAAAAGGCCAGAGGCCAGAGATGATAGAAAGGAAACTTGGAGTAGTCCAGTTTGGCTGGTGGCTGCAGTGCAGTGATGGTAAGGAGTGACCTGTATTCCCTGAATGCACAAGGCCAACAACTACCCCCAAATAAACACGAAGCTGTAAAGATAGTATGCTCACTATGCCAGAGTGGCTTTACAATACAAGTTTCCTAGCCTCAGTCAATCATCAGCATATTAATTAAAAGATCTCAGGGAGGCACAGTGAACAATGGACTGGAACCTGCTATGGGGTATTAGTCTTACCAGTAAGTCACTGAGCCCTCTCTGGTGAGCTCAGTTATCCCATCTGTAAACCGAATAGTTGATGCTACCTTAGATGATCTCTAAGGTCCCTCTTGGTTCAGAATTTAGGAAGGATCCCACCATGCATTTGCTACTAGAGGAAGTCTGTCAACCTCCATGAAGGCCCTGGCTGATCAACAATCCTCCCCTGAGCCCCTACTCAATCATCATTTTATATATGGCAAAACAACCTCACTGCAATGTTTCCTAACTCTCAGTTCAGAAGGAAATTTGACTAGCAAGCAGTGGTCTAATGGATAAAATATTCAGCTAGAGGTTAGGAAATCAGAGCCTTTTCTCAGGCTCCTATAAAAGGACACCAATGAGATTTCATTTAATAACAAGTTTTCCACTGTTTTCTCCTAGAAGGAAAATTTATGAGATATATTATGAGATATGCCAAGTTAGGGGCACCTGGCTGGCTCAGTGCGACTTTCAAGAGAAAGTGCGACTCTTGATCTCAGGGTTGTGAGTTCAAGCTCCATGTTGGGTGTAGAGATTACTTAAATAAACTTACAAAAAAGAGAGATGCAAAGTGCTGATAAAGATAAGTACAAATGGAGAGAATCACTTTAAGCGGGCACAGAAATTTCACCAACAATGATCAATTTTAAATTTGCTCCTTAAATCAATCACAAATCTCACAATGGGGTCCCTTGGGTTCAGAGTTGTCTATGGTTCTTTAACCACACTACCGTGGAAGGCAGGATGCCAGTGGCATCATGTTAGGGTCACAGGATTGCTAACTGCCTCAACAGCCACTTCTTAGGCCCTTCAATATAGGATACATACACACATATATCCGTGTGTGTGTGTTTTGTGTGTGTGTGTGTGTGTGTGTATACAAAGAAATTGGGGCAGCCTGGGTGGCTCAGTGGTTTAGCACCTGCCTTCAGCCCAGGGCGTGATCCTGGAGACCCGGGATCAAGTCCCACGTCAGGCTCCCTGCATGGAGCCCGCTTCTCCCTCTCCCTCTGCCTGTGTCTCTGCCTCTTTCTCTCTCTCCATGTCTCTCATGAATGAATAAATAAAATTCAAAAAAATTGGCTCTTAGAAACAATTGCAAATCTCACAATGGAGGCATAGCGGCTTCACACTTCACTCTGCATCACAATCACTGAGGCCTCCTCCAGAAAGCAGGTCACTTCAGGGATTCTCCTATTGAGATTTTAATTCACGTGGAGCTGCTAATTTCATACACAACTCAGTATATTCTCAAGGGAGGTGGTCATGAGACCACTTTTCAAAAAGCTGACTCTAATAGTTAGGAATAAGAGTAAAGGCACGCAGAGGAGAAATTACCTAGAAATTAGAGCATGGGCTTCAGGTGCCCTTCCTGGGCAGTAAGTAAACAGAAAGGGAGAGAGGAAATAGGTAGTTATGCCTGAGTTTGGATGGGGGCTTACTCATCCACTCACTTAATAATAAATATTCACTGTGTGCCCGTATGGATTGGGCACTGTGCTAGGCACTGGGAATTACAGAAGAAAACAAGACGAATGAGGTCCCTTCCTCATGCTGACGTGCCCTCTTACGACTCTCCTTATCTACTTGTTAAAGTAACTGTGGTTGCACAGTCAGTCCTGAAGTCCCTAATGCCCCGATGATTCCACCGGAGGAGGGCTCTGGAACACAAGAAGCAGGAAGAATGATAGAAGGGAAGGAGGCTTCCCAGAGAAAGTCCTGTCAAGATAAACACCACCACAACCGTGATTAACCAAAAGGCAATGTCCCCAGTAAGAACATCCTACAGGGATACCGTGTTATCCCTGCTTCAGTGTCCCATGCTACTGCTGCTGGACACCCAGACATCCTGCTCTCTTCCTAAAGGACGTGGTATCATCCTCTGCCCTAGGATAGAATCTAAAGTACTGGACCAGGGACGCCTGGGTGGCTCAGCGGTTTAGTGCCTGCCCTTGGCGCAGGGCGTGATCCTGGAGTCCTGGGATCAAGTCCCATGTTGGACTCCCTGCATGGAGCCTGCTTCTCCCTCTGCCTGTGTCTCTGCCTCCCTCTCTCTCTCTGTGTCTCTCATAAATAAATAAATAAAATCTTAAAAAATAAATAAGTACTGGACCAGGTATTTAAGACCTTCAAATATACTTTGGCCCCTGCCTCCTGTTACCTAGTTCTGGTGATCCCCTGAAAACTCTTAACGGTTTCCCTCCTTCTCAAACTTTATCAGATATCCTTCCTCTACTGGTATTCCCTGTGCCCTCTCTTTCTACACATTTTTCTGGCCCCAGTTCAAATGCTACTTCCTCCAGAAGGAATGTCCCTCTGGGCAAAGAGGGCCTTTGTCCTCTGAATTCTTCCACATGGTCCTTAGGTGATTTCCCTACAATTGGAACTGCTTTTTTCACTACATTAAGCTGTCTTCCAAGTTAGGATGTGCCTCTTGAGGATAAGGATTTTTTTTTTTTTACATCCCCTCTCAGGACCTAGCAGTACCTCCGTAAGTACTTGTAGAGTGCCTCAAGAGCAAATTTTTATTCTATCAGGGAATTCACTTCATTTTGTTGTCCTATTTTAATGCATTAGTTGAGTACAAATCTACTCCAAAGGCCACACTAATGAAACAGAAGCAATGTCCTGATATGAACCTAAAAGCAAGGTATTACTCATCTATCTACAATTATTTTATATGCTGGTTTTGGAAAAAGAGCCTGGGAGAGATATGTACCTTTTAACTTCTTACCACCCCTTCCATAACCTCACTGACCCCTCCTGTGCCTCCACACCTACTCTTTCATCTCCGCTCCACCCACCTCTCTTCCGAACCACTTTGGCCCTTTGGGTGTCTCTAGGACATTCATTTTCAAATCCTTTCCATTCTTACCCCCTCCCCATATATTTTTCAGGCCTGAGGAGGTAGATCTTTCATAACTCCAGTTGTCTCGTGTACCCCTCAGGCAATTTCAGGAACTCCAAGGCTGCTCTAATATGCAGAATGATGATCTGAGTACTTATGAGCTAAACACACTTATAATACAAAATCTGGGATATTTAGACAAGTTTCAACTGTTAGAACAGTAGTCTCCTGTTCAAACACAGGGATTCTACTTTCTGACTTCTAAATTGATTCTCCTGCTTTTCTAACATATAGTGGATTTTAATGTTTTACTGGCTTCTATTCATAGAGAAGGGAGAACGTTTATCGAGTACCTTTAGGTCGTAAGTACTGGGCTCGGTACCTAGATTGCAGATGTCATCTTATCCTCATGACTACTTGAGGAGACACACAGCTCCATTTCATGGATAAAAACCTGAGGTCAAGAGACGTTAAGTGATCTGCCCAATTATCATGCAGCATAGTTGTGGGACTGGGATTTTACTGTTGGTCCTTGGTAATACAAAGCTCAGGCTCTTTTAGGTATATTATGCTATATCCTTAAATAAAACCCAGTTCATTCTGACTATTCCGTCTTCCAATTCAAAACAGAGATCACCAAAAACCTGTAACTGCAGGATAAGGGACTTTATACATTCCTAAGAAAAGGGAGCACCACTGGGCCACCAGGAACACCATCTTTGGTCTCAGGATCTCAATCGTTGGCCTAATTTTCCTCAAGAGCACTGAACTGACTCCGTATCAAGTATTCCCTGCCCAACCATCACAGCAGCCCTTGACACCATCACATAATCATCACCATCATAAGCAGCTATTTAAAAAAAAAAAAAACACCGCACCGCCTAATATGCGTCACTCGCATACTCTGTACAAATTAGGTGCATGGCAAAGTGGAGGGAAAACAGCAACTCCAAGTCTCACATTTCGATCAAATGTAACTGGCAAAAATGGTTAAAGCACAGAATCAAAGAACAGAGGACGAAAGTATCCTATAACCAAGTCAAACACCTGTTAGTCCTTCCCGTTCAAGACGTTTAAAGAAGGTCACATTTATTCATTCAACAAACATTTATTGGGCACCAGCAAGTGTGCTAGGTGCTAAGGAATAGGACCGTGAACACGATCAACCAGGCTCCCGCTCTGGGCAGATCCGTCCGCTTGTCCTGATCTTGCTAACTACTACACGATGCTTGTTCGCTGCTAGAATCATATTTCGGGGAAAGTCAGAGTCATACGTGGGCTCTTGTCGAAGCCCTTAAAAGTCTCGGTAGGCAAACGTGACAGAAAGCTCTGGGAGGCTCTGGGAAGGACGAGGCGGTGCGGCGCATCCTCCCGCGGCGGCCGGGCTGCTCCCCACTGTCATGGCGGCCGGCGGCGGCCCGCGCGCCGCGTGCTTCAGAGCATCCGGTTGCGCTTGGCGGTTGGGGAGTCTGTGACACTGTCACCGCACCGGGCCGAGGTGCGCTTGCGGGTCCCCCCGCTGTCCGGGCGCGGGGCCTGCTCTTCGGAGGTGAAGGGGCTCGAGTCGTCGTCGAGGAAGGTACTTTTCCGGCGCCCGCCGCCGGGCACAGCGCCCGCGACGCCGCTGGCCTGGGGCGGGGAGCCGGGGGCGCCGGACCTCACGCTGATGCTCGCCATGGCTCCGCTCAGGCCATGCACGGCGATGGCCTCGTGGAACGGCTGCAGGTCGACGTCCACGGCCGAACCGGACTCGGGGGCCGCGGCCTGGCCGGCGGCCGCGGCGGGCGGCTTCGGGGGCGTCCGCGGGGCGCGCGGCGGGGGAGGCGCGGGGGGCACTTTGCCGCACAGGAAGCTGATCAGGTCTTCGCGGAGAATGGTGCTGCGGCCCTGCTTCGCCCACTCCAGGACATCCCGGATGCGCCGCTGGTAGCCAACCTGGACGCCCAGGTCAAAACTTCGTTGGTGGGCGTCCCCGCTCTCTTTGTACAGACTGGTCACGGCCATGGCCGCATTCTGGAAGGGGTCCCACATGGACAGTTCTGGCTGTTGGCACCCAGCATCCTTGTAGAGCTGGGCCACGGCGGTGGCCGAGATCTGGAAGAGGTGCCACAGCTTCTGCTGCTCGCTCCGGAGCCCCGCCGCCTCGGCGCTCGCCTCCTCCCGCAGCTCGGGGGCCAGCTGCTCTTGCTGCTCGGCCTCGGCCAGGCACTGGCGCTCCCACTTGGAGAACCACTGCTCGGCGACCTCGGCCTCGCCCTCCTTCGGCGGCTCCTCCATCCTCGCCGCTCGCCGCCGCCGCCGCCGCCGCCGCCGCCTCACCTCCTGCTCGGGGCTCCCCTCCTCCTCCTGCGGCCGCCGCCGCCGCCTCCTCCGCGTGCGCCGGCGGGCGGTCGCGCGGGCGGCGGGGCCCTGAGGCCAACTGTTCCGGCGCGCGCCGCCCGCGGCCCCGGTGCACGCCCCGCCCCGCCCCGCCCGGCCCGGCCCCCAGCTACGCGGCGGAGGACTCCGCAGCCGCCGGCGCCGCCTTGCTGCCCCCTTCCGGCCCCGCGGTCCGCTCCGAGGGCCCCCCCAGGGCGCCGCGGCCTCCCTACAGCCGCAGCCGCCGCCGCCGCCGCCTCGGCCGCCGCCGCCGCCCGACCCCAGCCCCCGCCCCGCCGCGGCTGCCGCACCAGGAGCTCGCAGGGGGACCGGCCGCAGCGCTGCCTCAACGCGGCGCTTGCCTACTCTTGGCCCCCTTTTCACACATTTTGGAGACTTGTCGGCTTCATCCAATGAGCTGATCAAATTTTACATCCTATGTTGCCAGAGAGGATTATGGGGCAACTTCATGGTGTCGATCACATCCAGGGCGCCGATCCGGGAAGGCCGGGGGGTGGGGTGGGCTGGGGTGGGGGTAAAGTGGGAAGATCCCGGCCCCCGTGAATAGGCAGGCACCCTGAACCCCGGCAATGCCCTCTACACAGGACGTACCCACGAAAAGGGCCGCCCGCTGCTCGACGCAGTATTTTGTACAGGAAAAAAAAATAGTACTCTGCCCCCCACCCCCGCTTCCTGGGCCTCAGTTTCCTCAAGTGCCAAATGAGGTTGTTGAATTAAGTCCCTGGAAAGCACTTAGAGCCGGGATGTAGAACTTTCCTGCTGTCGCTGCAAAGCACCTCTTCTGGGCTGCTTGCATGCTTAACCAAATTCTAAGAGTCACATCAGAAATGGTACTGAATCCACCCCCCCCCCCCCAGGATTCTTGTAACGTTTTGGTGTCTTAAAAAAATGGGTTGGGGGTTCTCTTTGGTCTCCTTTCAACTACTGAAAATTCTAAGATGAAGAAGGAGAGAGAAAATAGGAAAATGAAATTCCAAACACCGTATTCTCTGCTCTATTGTAAAAATTCACTGCCTTTCAGGACAAAAAGAAAAGAAAAGAAAAAGATCTTACCTAACTCAACACCCAAAAAAATGATAGCTAAGTAAAACATCATAATAAATCCAAAATTAAGCTAAACCTATGTGATACTAAAGTCTTTTCCTTGGGTTCATTAACAACCCTCTTATAATGATGCAGTTCTTTTTTAGTGCACACAGTTCCAAAGCAAACTGTTAAGAGAAAAAAACATTATCACTGAGCTAAGAATAACATCAAAAATGGGAGGAACTAACATGTAATATTTTTTTTAGAATTAGGAAGAAAGTTAGAATTTCACAGTTTTTGTTGTTGACCATGTTTGCTAGGTATCCATAGAGCCTTATACAGGAAGCTGAATCTTCTAGCAAAATATGTTTAAGAATTCCCAAATATGAAAATTAGTATATAAAATAAAATGACCTAATCATTAAGCTTTATCATCTTCCTAAAAAGAAATACATGTTTCTAAGTTAAATATAAAAGAGAAGAAGAAGAAGAAGAGGGGATTGTGCCCTTTCTCTGCAAACCAGGCTTTTTCACGATTCATTAAACCCTTTTTCCATATGTGTAATTGGACTCTTCTCATTTACATAAACGAGAGATGAGGCAAAAGACCTAACATCAGCCCAAAAGGAGAAATCCATTTCTCAGTCTCCGATGTTAAAAAAATATATTGTAGAAAACTCCCAAGAAGGCAGATCCCCCTCCTCCCCCACACACCCACATATACCAGCCCCGAAATAGTTCATGGCCAAGGAGATACTGAGTTTGCCAGAGCTTTGGGGGTTGTTCTGCACACGCTGCCTCACAGTTATCATCAGAGGCACATGTTTTTATTTCATTTTCTCTAAGTAAAGACCTTGGACTGAAATGACTGACAGTAGGACACCATATCCTATTTTCTCCCCTCATTTCTGATTGGGTTAAAAACCAAGAAGAAAGACTGCACTGTCTTTGAAAGAGCACAACCCTCTGCTTGGGCTTGAGTTGTCTGGCTGGTATCCTCCATTCAGTTGGTCTCAGCACCTGATTAATTAGTTAATTAGTACTTAGAGCTGACTAGCCCCAGTTGGCAATTTTCATGCCCTGCATGGTGAAATGTTGAATCCAGCATTGAAATTTCTGTGTCGCACACCCTAATTATTATCACCCCACTACTTTTAAAACCATTGCACCAAATTATTATAATAGAGCCAGACAACTGTGTGGGAATATGTTCTTTCTGAGAAATAATGGTAGACTTCTAATATTTTTCACTATTGCCCTTAACACATTTAAATAAAACAATGAATGGGGAAAATTCTAATTCAATTAGCCTCCAACTCCTTCTACAAAGAAAATGATTTTATACGAGAGAGATGTTAGGAAAATTGCACCAAGATTTTTTGACGTTTTATCAGTTCTTCGATGGCAAAGAGTACATTTACAAGATATCCTATCTGAGATTGATTTTGTTCCCATATTTTTTTCTATGTCAGGAATAAAAATCAGAATAGATAATAGTAACAAAATACAACCAAAAAAGAACCCTAAGATCATTTTAACTAGCTGTAAGAAAACGATGCGTGTGTGTGTGTGTGTGTGTGTGTGTGTGTGTGTTTGAGGTGGTGGTGGGGGGGGACTTTGGATGTTTAAAAATACTGTGCTGACATGGTTTAGGAATGAGTTTTCTTTGGGAAAAAATACTCTTTGGCCGCTGCCCCATTCTTCCATAAATTTGATGTCATAGCGAAGGTTAAATATCAACTAGGGAAAAACAGTTTTAGAAAATAAGTTAGGACACAAACTTAGGGGAATCTAATTTTTGCCATTTCTCAGTGTCCCATTACCAAAAAAGGGCCCCAGTGTGTCAATGCTTTTCAGTATGACTGGTAGCTATTTTCACCTGAAACAATCCTTATATATCAGTAGTGGGCTGCCTGTAATTGTCAGAGCTAAATGGTACACAAAACTGGATACACAACCACACAGATCAGTAAATGGGTCGGATTGAAAGCAAAAGTAAACACCAACCTTAGGAAATGAAAGAAGTTAAAAGATAAGTGTTAAGGACCTTATTCTTTTTGGAGAATAAAACAAGATTTAGTAGCTTTCCACTTAATTTAAATGAAAAGAATCACTACCTTACATATTGCAGTGATAATGTAATGGGGAAAGAAAACAAAAAAGTCTTTGTACAAATGACACCTCCTATAGTTGTTGTGAAGAAACTTTTCCCCTTGGTATCTGCTAACAAATTCTAATTAATGCTGCACATTCCTTTACTGAAATCATTTAATGCGTAACAAGGGGGGTAAAAAGAAATGCTGAATGCTCGTGATTGCCCTGTTAGAATTATGGGAGTGAAAGCCTGGGGCCCCAAACTTACTGTCTATTAAAGCCAAGCTTTGAAAAAGAAATGCAACCTACAAAAGCTGTCAATCTCCCTTGCCCCTAAAGCCTGGGTTCACATGGATTCAAGTGACAGCCCTCCTCCCCCATGCACAATACATCAATCTGTCTCTCCCACAAGCACCCACAGCCCATTGTGCTGGCCGCAGGTGCCTATTATGGCACCCATGGCTGCCTCCCACAGCTCCGCCCCTGAGAAACAGGAACTGCAGACAATGGAGCCCTGTGGGAAGACAGAGGTGGGTGTTGGGAGGGATAACAGACAGATGGTAAAGGGTATAGGGTAGTAAGGTAGTTTCAAAACAAATGTCAAACATTCAAAATTATTGCTTTCTCATGTCTCTCCTTTTGAATTGCCTTTGCTTCAATCACCATCTGCCATAATTATACTTACCTGTTATGATAAATTTTTGCTCCCCTTTTTGGGTAGTGGTGGATGGAATGACCTTCAATACTCTACTCCTCCTATTTAGTCTCTAGGTTTCTCAAGGTCACAGACTGAGGAGTTTTAGTTAAGTGACACCAGGAGACCATAGAGGGGAAAGAAGGAATCTTTCTATAGTTTTTGCAAGGTTTGTGGTTTCCCTTTGAGCTTAGTTTTGGGCTCCTTAAGGGACATGGGTTATAAAAATTAGTTACTTTGGGTAATATACCTATGAAATCAAAGTCCTATAAGACTTCTGACAAACGTCATACTAGGCAGGTGAAAATTCTTAAGCCATTTCTTTTTTGGTGAGGAGTCACATAAAGGGAGATGAGGTGCATTTAATAATAAAAGTACTAATACTTTCTCACTCAGACTTTTGCCTATTTCCAAACGTGCCAACCAAAATAAGTAATATTGTGATACAATAATACTAGATACTATTCACATGCAGTGCCAGTATCACAGAAAGCACATTTTAAGCAATTCATTTCATAAAATGTCACTTGCCTGTGGTGGTTTTTCACCTTCTGAGTTGTGGACTAATTAAGAAGTAATAAATGGAAGAATTAAGGTATATGCCAAAAATATATGTATTGGTTCAAGTAAATTTGATTTAGTTGCTTTCACCCTTGCTTTATCATCACAATATACCACCTTATTTCCTGTTTTCGAGATAATTTGTCATAAACTAAAAGCAAGCTAACAATAATTTCATTACGACTTCTACTACCTGTCTCAAACAAACAAACACCAAGAAAAATCTGGCACAATTCTAAGTCATGGTCAAGAGGATTGGTAACTTGTTGGAATGAGGGTACTGCTAAAATAACGCCAGGGACTATGACCAGCCAGTTTTCCTGAAGCAAACAAGAGGGTCTTGGTTTGCTGTCAAAAACTACAAACTAAGCTTTAACTAGGGACTGTCAGGGATCCAAGTGAGCTCCTGGCCAGGGAGAGCTTAATTAGCAGAGTTGGTTTGGGTTTTTAAATTACAGAAGAAAACAACCAATACAGTATGAAAGCAGACAGTGGTCTAATGTAGCACAAAATTCACTATTCC